TGTTGAGAGCCTTGCTGGTGAAGCAAGGCTACTTTCTCCCTCTCGAGAGCAAGTTCATTCTGAATGAACTTGGCAATAGCGGCATGTTGTTGGTCTCTGTCTAGAGACTCCAACATGGCACTAACGACGAGTTCGCCTACGGTAGAACTCATTCGTTCTACCGCACCCCATTCGATGTCACTCAAATGGGTAAACCCTTCACGCGTGGCGTGAAAGGTGTCTTCTTCATCCAACATGAACATGTTGGATGATGTGGTCCTTGGAAGGACTACAAAGTGCTACCAGGTGTAACGGGGCACACCCTTGCGTAACTTAACGCAAGGGTTTTGGGTGCCCCGACACACGTACACGTGGCAAGCGAGGAAGCGTAGGTAGGGTAAAAGTAGAACTGTTATAATAATAGAATTAAGTCTTTAAACTACTGTCTCTTCGTTTGACTTAGTTTAACTATACTAATATAACTGGATGTATGGTGACGTCTCGTCACCACTCATTGCGCGCGTCTTGCGGCGATTGGTGGGTTGATATCATCACGATATCAACCAATGAACAGACCCTTTGGTCGACCCTTCAATATCACCACTTTGGTGATATTGTTTAAAGAATATCCATCTTTATATTCTTTATTGTCACTTTCCATAAAGTGACGATTTCATGTAACGGGCTGCCCCGTTACATTTGCGTTATTGGGAATGGCGAAATCATAAAGGCGGAAGCTTATTGTGATGGGAAGTTTTACGGAGATCCCGGTCTGCAACATAGTTGCTGCATCCATTGCTGCAATGGTTATACACCGGACTGCAGACTCTAGTAACGTCGGCGCAATCCACAAGCCATGCGTCACCGAGGGTACTCAGTCGCTCGTGATGCCGTCACTGTCATCCCGGCTACCGTCTCTACCGCCCGAGTCTTCTGTCCATCCGCCGGCTGCTACGATCGTCGATAACGAAGTTTGAATACATGATAGTTGTCATTTGATCACCGAACTTTTTCGTACCCATTGTGTTTTTATTCGTGTGTCGTTCTTTCTCAATTGTCGCCATAGAAAAAAGCTACTGCTTCGTCCTTTGGCCCACGATCGAGAGCCGGTCTTTTACTTAATTCGATTCCTAAGGTAGGAGGCACGGACGGTTATATGCGCCGGAGATAGATCGATATAATAGACGAGCAACCACCCAATGGGTGGCTTTCCTGCCAACCCGTACCTGACAGTTGTTGGAGGCCCAACTGGCCGAAAATTCCATTGTGCAATGAGAAGTGTGGGTCCTCTAAGGAGTTAAAACCAGTGGTGGAAAAAACCCGATCATTTCTAATCGATACATGGGGAAATTGGTTATAATATAAAACTGATTTTGTCATGACTTTATTTGTAATAGATTGATACTCTATCTAATGGTCTACGCCGCCCCATTTTCATCGACGTCGCTCTCAGTGTCACTTCCGCCGTACTTGTCGTTGTCTCCTTTTGGTGACGTGTAGAAACCTTTAATGTTCGACTGCTAGGGTTGTAGCTGGACATTGTGGGAATTCAATGACCGGAAGCTGAGTTTATAAGTGAGGATAGATCCGTCTAGTGTTCTACAGTCGACGCCGAGGGTCCCTTCTTTGACCAATTGAAAAGTGCTCAACATTTTCGATTGAGTCTCTTAGTAACTAGGGGTGAAGTCAGGTCGTGAAACCAAGGAAAATGGCGTTTCCAGGGGCCAAGAATTTCATGAGCACGACATTTAGGAGCCAAAACCCCCGAAAAAACAAATTTTTCGCCGAACCCAATTAGTCGGGGTTTTTAAAAAAACGAAAAACCGATGAAAAAAACATGTCATGCCAGATCTGGTTGAAAAAGTGTCACTGTGCTCACAGACCACCCCAGTGTGATCTGATGGGCTACGCGGCTCAAAATCTCTAGTCGGCCTTTTTGATCGAGTCGTAACAATCCTACGAGAAGGCCAGCAAATTTGGTTGCTTAACAATGGATAAAGTTGCTCCAAATAGGTTGCTAGAAAATACGTTGAAATGGTCAAGAAATGAAAGATTTAAAACAAATGCATGTGTCAAATAATTAAATAAGATGATTCTCCTGCCACAACACCTACCTGTTATAAAGTTAACTAAGAAAGAAACCCCTTATAGGGGCGCTCGCTCTTTTTTTGGTGCGTCACGACGTCAAATAACAAGAACGTTGCTAATTCATTCCGTCGGTAGCTGACTGAATGGGCATGTCCGCAAAATTTAAAGTCGCGTCTTCTTGACGAATAAAACTACGTGACCTACACAACGAGTTAACAATTCATCGTGCTACATCTGCGACACAGTCTGTCTTCTTGCTATAACAGAGTACAACAGTTATCGCATTTAGACGTCTATAGTTTGTGGCAATGCGTTGAAGTAGCAAATACGCTTGTGCACTGTGATTAAAAGTCCAATTGCTTCCACAAACGACAGCAGAACGGTCTTTAAAATCGTTGCATCAATATAGCCTCTTCAGGAGCACGGGTATAGGACATCAATGGGACTGAGCAGATTCTGCTAGCTGATGTGTAATCTGCTCCCTTCACTTGATCAGTTCCGACCATAACGCTTTCCTTACGCCATGTCACACGCTTCATCCACAACCCTTGTGATCAACCAGTCAGTGATCAATGGATACAAGTAACAAAACATTGACACCACTGGACTACCGCGAATGCTCAACGTTCCATATCGTTGCGCCAAATTTGTTTGCCAGCAAAAAAACTCATGCTTCTACTTTATCCTAGGCATGTCATCCTACAGAATCACGAACCTGTCTGGCTCGTATTTCATACCTCCTTGGTAGATCTTGTATAAGTCAATCTTATGAGCTATATTGATGTCTGAATCATTTGGTACAGCTTTATTCTTGCGAGACAATCCCCCTCCATATCGGATCCTTCACTGGTGATATTTCGGCTTAAAAGACGCCACAATAACCGATTTCTTACGTGGCGTGTGAATTTTTACCGCAATGCTGGACTAAGGAGCATATTGTCGTTCGTTTAATGGCAAGTATAACAAAGCTTTCAAGCAAAATCACGTTGGTCTTTTTTTCTTGACTAGAGTCTCGCGTCAGTGGCGCATCATTAAATTACATGAGTGACGCATCATCGATGCAAAGACAAATGATCATTCTTCTGATATAGTTCATTCGTTGTCTGCATCTTTTCGACTGAACTACAGGGTCGACGAATACAGTACATTCGTTGATGAAACACTCAATCAAACATGATGGTATTCCACCAAAAAATTATTCAAGTTTTTTTGCCAAGAAAAGGTGTCACAATTGATCCAATAAGTTTGCAAAATGTAGTTGGGACAACACCTGGTTAAGCGCACGCAACACTTACGTCAATAGTGTTCAATCCGATTGAACTTAACGCTTTATTGCTCATACGCTTCTTCTCGACACGACACGACATCGATAGCGTTAATAATATCACATCCGACGTTACAAAAATCTGATGGACTGAAGGCATGCGTTGTGGATGACAACGATCGTTCAGGCATGAGCTATGCAATATGCAGAGAAATAATGATATCAAATACGCTTGATACGTTACTGTAGAGGGTACTGGGATCTCCAATGACCACTATTACTCAAGTTTTTGAAGCCTTGTCGACTGCAAAGTCACGAAGAGCTTGCAACTTCCGCTCGCGTCTTTCTGTCCGTTGTTGCATTCAATCATTTTGTTGGAGCCGTTCAGTGAAAATCTGTCTAAATGGATGGTATCACTTATTGTATTAGACGTCAGCAGTGTGGATATCTGTGGTTTACAGACACGCATAAAAATGGCATCGCTTTTTGCCGCTTTGCTATGTCTTTCGTACACCTATAGATCTATGCTTCGCAGCAGAGTCTTCAAGGAGCGTTACATGCCACAATTGCGTGTTCGCGAGGACGATAAAATTGGACACGACATGCCGTTTGTCTAGAATTCTACCATAGCAGCACCGCAATTGACTCTAGAATTCTACAGACAATTGGCCGAAATGTTCGCCCAAATAAAAGAATTACGGCATCGTCAATGAGGCCATTGGCTAGCGACTCGACACAAATCAGGTATGGCCCTCATTGAGGATTACGGGTCGTCCGTTGTCGATAATTGTAGTTCTACTAGAAGCGAGTGGTGCCCAAATCCTATTTCGTTCACGTCTTTATGCTTCTGTTCGGTTTGTCTTCGACCTACGACCTTTTGATTATAAGTCAGGCCTGATGACGCGTGCAGGGACTCATTGAGATAGTATATGCACATAGAATCTGATTTCTCTTCTCTGCATTATCTTACCTCTTTTACCATTTCGACGGATGCGAGTGTGAGAATATCGCCATTAACAGCACAAAATGCCCAAAATACCTAAGCGATAGATGTCGAAACAAGCTGTTCACTCTTACTACTGTACTAAAACCTGACTGTCGCAAACTTCTGATTAATCAGAGAGCGGTGCAATAGGCCCTGCCTGATTACTTGTGGACAGAGTTTACGTAGTATGAAACCGGAAAAAATGGGAACGACATGAACCCAAGATGTCTGCATACATAATAGGTGGCTAAAGGATATTGGACCAAGCGCTGGCTCTTACTTCTTCCCAGGAAAAGTAGGCATAGTCCTGAAAAATACTAAAAGTTCCTGAAAATACGAAAAACAGTACAGCCATAAAGCTTCTAATTGTGGTGGGTTAGTATTATGTGGCCGGCCGTCACAGTATATGGGGTACCAATGTATGTAGGACGTTTCTATTCGGTGAAATCCGCGAGAGTGCGCTCGTCGAAATTGTTGCATCAACGTGGATCACCTCCATCATCGATTACACTCATCCGGATGCCGTTCCCCCGTCACCTATTTGCCCACAGCTCTCCGCTCTACCAATGCGGACCGGCAAGTTTAGCCCTCGCTGCCACAGTTTATGCATCACGTCGCTTCGACACCTCTTCTGTCCATTGCGCTGAGTCAAGTGGACGACATCGTCGGCCGCCTGGAAAACCCATGATGTTCGTGCGAGATCCCGGTACAAAGTCGTATATATATATAATTTGTGACGCTTTGTTGGCAACGAAATGTCATCGCGGCCATACAAAATTGAGGTGAACTTGTGTGTGTGTTTGCCTCGGTAGATGATTTCGCGAGAAAGTGGAAAAAGTTCGCAACAGACCGACTGGACAAACTCGTGGTCATTGCGGATTTTGATTACACCCTCACTCCTGCTTACAAACCCACGAGTACGTGAACCCATGGCCACGCTTCCTTGTGTCAACTTTTTCGTCGAGCCTGCGAGTATTTTTACGATGCGATTCGCTGCACGTCTCAGATGATCAAGCCATTAGTACACACGGCCTTTTGATGCAGAGCGAGGCACTGGGTCCGCGAGCACAGGCTGTTGCGCGCGGCGTTTTCGAGAAATATTACCCCATTGAACAGTGTGCAACATTGACGCAAGAAGAAAAGCTTCCATCCATGATCGAGTGGTGGACGAAATCGCACGACCTCATGATCGAGCACGGTGTGTCGAAGAAGGCTGTACACCGAGCCGTGGAGGAGAGCGACATCGTACTTCGCGAAGGCTTTATGGAAATATTCGGGCTGCTGGCACGAGAGAATGTGCCTACGCTCATCTTTTCCGCAGGTCTGTACGACGTGATCCACGCTGTGCTTGCCAAGGAGTATGCTAAAACTTCGGAAAAGACTGTCCCAAAAAACGTGCATGTTGTATCGAACATCATGCGGTTTGACAACAACGGCAAGCTTATGGGCTTTGATGGAACGGTGCGGCTGGTTTTCGTTTGTTACTGAAGCATGTGAGAGTAGTTTGCGGCTAACAAGCACTACTGTTTCGTGACTGCAGCTTATTCACAGTCTAAACAAGAATGCCACTGCGCTCGTGGAGACAGAGTTCTGGAAGCAGTGTCAGCTGGAGAAACGCCACAACATCTTGCTCTTGGGTGATTCGCTAGGCGACTGCAATATGGCCAACGGACTGGATTTCAACGAGGACGAAATTATGCGCATCGGCTTCTTGAACGACGGAGATGACGCAAAACTAGCCCTCTATCTGCAACATTTCGATGTCGTGCTCACGAATGACTCAAGTTTGTTACCAGTCGAGCTCCTGCTGCACCAGATCCAGCTTTGACATGTCGATCAAAGTGACGAGTTGTCAATTGAGACTGTGCTGCCGGCGCAAGTTGCAGCGCATGTTCTGCATTTACAAAAATGTGCGAAAAGTATGTTGTTTCGTCCTTCAAAAGGTGAACAAACACTATCCTGATACTATGCTTTGGATACCGCTACTCCAAGCACGGTCACGTAATTGCCAAGCACTTGTCACCGCGCTCTGATTTGTCGTATTGCAACAAAAGATCGAATGAAAACGTCACGAGTTTTCATCGAAACAACATGGACGCTCGAATCTTCGCTGATCCGAGTAAAAAGTGAGTTGCCGTACACTGTTTCTACACGGATAAGAGCCACTATCATGCAAACGCGAACGGTATCGTGTCCCCGCTGCCAATAGAGTACGTTATCACAAAACGTGTCGAATGAAGGAAGAGACCATGAGCGAGACGTCGTCACTGGACGCGCAGTGGTACGTGCAGATCCAACCAGACTGGGGCGTCGCGGAAGACTCGTGTTGGATCGACGTGTACAATCGCGCCGTAAAGCTACCAACGATTAAAGCGCAGGAGCTCATCGGCCAGGACGACAAGTGCTTGACCGCCAAGGTGCACTCTTGTCCGAGCTCGCAGTATCAATTGCCTCTATCGACCTCTTTCCATGCCACTGGAGCACCTGCTGTCGTGCAGGTTCTCGACAAAGGAACTTCGTGGGTCAAGATCGGTCCAACGGATGCGAAGAAGCCGTCTGAAGCATCGATGCAACTGCGGCCAACAGTGTTTCAAGTCCCCCACGCGACAGTAGATGTCCCGATGGGTAGTACCGATTCAAAGGCTTCTGGAGCTCGAGCAATGCGCCTGTTGCAATTGAATGCAGTGGATGTGTCATTCGACGAGAGATTTGTGGTCCTTGGAGGCTCCGACGGCGTCTCCATGCTCTGGGATAGACAAAACAGGACGCAGATGCTGCCGTTGCAAGGCCATGTCGCTGACGTCACAAGCGTTCGCTTTTACCCCAGCTCGAAAGTTGTGCTTACGGGGTCGCTCGACTTTACGCTGAGAATCTGGAGCATTGATGGACGGTGTGCGGCGGTGATGAAGGGGCATCGAGGAGGGGTTGAGGACATTGCGATCCTTGGAAGAGGAAGGAATGTGCTATGTAAGCGCAGGAGATACTGTTTTCTCGTCTGACGATGTTTGCGTACTGGGTATGACGAGGCGTGTGGTGTGCTGTATATAGCATGCGGAACTGACGGGTTCATCCAGCTGTGGAACTGTGGGACACAAGACGTTGTTGCCAAGTGGGCCAACGATGATCAGAGTCCTGTACACTGTTTGGCAGTCCTGGACGACACAGCGCGCCGTTTAACGAAAGGCACTTCTCCGCCTTGTGACAGTGGCAAAGAGGCTGAGACGGACGGGAAAGTGCTCTTTGCTGGTCTTGATAACGGAGAGACATTGGGTGTGGATGTCCGCACACGTGCAGGAGTACGTGTGATCTGAAGCGGAGACGGAGTAAAAGACTGATCCGCACTCGTATGTTCTGATCAGGTGCTCAATATTGACGGCCTTGCTGGCTCGATCATCTCGTGTGCTGCGACTACTGCAACTGCCTCTTCACCGATGCTTTTCACTGGAAGTGAGGACGGTCTGCTGACTGCATGGGATTTGCGCCACACGAGGTATAGTCTCAGTGACTCGCACGAAAGCGTTTGTTAGTCAACTCTGACACTAACCTGTCGTCATGTAAAGTGTGCCGTTGCACGCTTTGTCTCGAAGTTCATCAGCCATTCACAGCATCGTGGTCTCAACCTTGCCAGCAAATGACTCAGTTTCGACTTGGACTGCGCACGGAGATGGCGGATGCTGCAGCTGGAGCAACTTCCAAGGAATACCGCACATTTGCACGGAGCTTACCGGCCCTCAGTATGATGCAGTACGTGGTGTTGCACTTGCGGGTCAGACCAGTCGTCTGTTCACCGCCTGTCGAGATGGCCGGTTGCGCGAGTACATTCCACATATTGTGCCGTGAGAGGAGCCGGGTCAATGCCGTTCTCGAATAAGTGCACATTCCACCACCTTTTGCGTCAACAGTCGGTTCTTTTGATCGATCTCATTCAAGAGCATCCAGCAGAATGGCACAGTGCTGCATTGCTTTGTTGCCCTCTTCAATCACGCATGAGACGCATGGGCAATCACGTCGGGTGGGTTAGAGTACTTCTAGCTCTCTCGTCGCACAAGCTCTACGCCAGGCACACCGTTCAGCGACTTGTTCCCGCATGCCGAATCACGCCGCCCGTCTCTCATGTGAAACTGTGATATGCGTTTGCTATTGCTGCCAACAGACGGAATCGCGCTACTTACCTCCAAGTCCAAATTGGAAGTCGAAACGCGATGGTATTCCCCCGATCTGTCGTTTCTTGCGCCGCCTGCTGCTTCCGCTGTACTGTGTTTGATGTACGTGTAGAAAAGCATACCGCACGTGGCAACGACAAGGCCAAACACATTGACTCGAACGAGCTGATCGCCAAAAATAGAGACTGCGAGTAGCACTTGCGTGCGTGCGTCTTCAAAGGTGCCAGCGATACCTAGTGACAGCGCTGATGTCTTCTTGACCAGCGAAATCTCAATGAAGATCAGCACGAATGCTAGACATCCGCTGATGAAGATGAAAATCAGCGACATCCCAAGCAGCTGCGAGTCCAGCAGAAAGCGCGACGTCATGCAGTCCTTTCCCTCTGTAAGCAGAGCAATCGGAAGCAGACAAACAGCACTCGCGGGTGACACGTAGTACACCACTGCAAGCACCTTATTCCCGGACGCTCCGATAGTGCTGTCCTCCATCGACTGGAGCAACGACTGAGTCAGGACCCACCGCAACGTCCCGATCACTGACGTTGCCAACACCAACAGAAAGCCGTAGAGCACAAAATGTGCCGACCCGTAGCTAGCAAGTCCGATGCCACTTGAAATCAGCACGATCACTCCAAACAGCGACCAAGACGGGCGTTGGTGGCCCAGATAAATCGAAAAGAGCAAGTTCCAGACATTACCTCCTGACTTGGCAATCGTGTAAACGGTCACTATAATGTAAAACAGCGACACGTTCGACAGCAAAACGTCAATGGCCGTGCAGACACTAATAGGCACTGCAAGTTTCCAGTACACACTCGAAGGCATAGCCATTCCAGTCCTTGTGTAGCCGCCACTGGAGCAGCGATCCATCAGTCGCGATAGTAGACACTTGACAAACATATTGATGCACGCCATGGTCGTCGCAAAGGGGTACCCACCACCGGCCCAGGCCCGCAAGAACCACTTGTTAAAGAGCGTCATGCCAATGCTCACAGCGTACCAAAGTACCACAAAGACACTCACATCGATCGCATACAGTACGACTGGGAGCGGCAGCGAAAGGCCAGAACGACCAGGACAGAGCTGCAAACACTCGCGTCGACGTCGACTCTGGGCCAAGTAGAGACCCAGTAGCCGCAGTCCTCGCGCCAGGGAAAGCACGAAAGAGCAAGTTGCGACGAGTGCAAACGTCTTGTCGTCATTAGCGTCTTGTGCCGCAAGCGCGAGAGCCGCTACAGTCGGCAGCGGACCACTGTCACTGTCCAGCGTCGCGTTTGCCATGGGCGATAAAAAGTGACAATAGCGTTATATGCGGTATTGTACAGAGCGAAAATCATACTGTCGTATTGTTTCACGTGGTCCACATCAACCTGTTGTCCGGCATATTGTGTGGACACACGCGGTAGTGACAATCGCCAAGTCGCGCGAGAGCCCACTTCAACGTCAATAACCACCAGTCGTCGTCTCATCCTCATCACTCACTCACGCGTCGGCACAATCGACACTATTGGTGCCAAATGTCCCGTTTCCTCGCAGTGTGTAGCAAGTCGCTTCATGGACAAGTAGCTTTTCGTGCAGCCGTTGTAGCCACAGACGACACGACGAGATGGTGCACTTGAACTTGCATGGGCCGTCTTCATGTGCTGTTTGAGCTTGTGCACTTTTGTAAACGATGCTTGACACGACAGTTCTGTGCAAGTAAAACGCTTGTGTTGAGTCATATGGACGTCGTAATCGCGTGCAGACTTGAGCACCTGGTCGCAGCCGCAATACGAGCAGATCAGCGGGAGACATGCAGAGCTGCTGCTCGTGTTGCTGTTGCTCGAGGGTAAAATCTCATTACCGTTCGTTTGGCCTTCGCTGATGTGGCCTGCAGTGAACGCGCGGCGCTGTGTACGGCGCAGCTTCCGCAGTACTTTCCAGCGTTCCTGGTACATTTTACGCCACTTGTGCTCGTAACGGTCGCCGTGACGGCACTCGACAGGCAAAGCAGGTAGAGCACTGTGCTTGTCACGAGTAGCGAGACCGAGTTGCAAGTAAAGTGGGCGCCATAGCGACGCACGACAGCTAACTTCTGCAAAAGTTCGACACACAAGGGCCATCCGGCAAAGCCGTTTTGCACTCATAAAGGAGCACACACGCTCCAACGCGTCTGGTTGTAGCAGCACGTCGAAAGAGCGCTCCAATCGCTCAAGATCCACAGAAACTTTGGGCAATTTGTTCATTCGTCGGCGCTTTCGTGCTTGCACGACAAATGCGTTTTCATCGGCCGGTTCAATAAGTGGGGTAGACGAGATCAATTGCGGGGTCACGAACATTTTCATCAATGGAAAATGTGCAAATAAAGACGGTCGAACACCTAATTTCGTCTCCCACGCGTGCCACGTTGCCAATTGTTTCTGTATATCTTCTTCACAATTTGCGTCCTTTTCTTGCGCTTCGGACACAAACGAATGAATCTCTTCGTCAGATAGAAAGACCCAGTGTTTCCAAAGATGGGCCGTCCAGTACACTGGGGCTGCGACGCAAAAGTCTTCGTAAGATATTTCACTACACAGCTGCATCTGAAACTGCGTCACGCGCTCCATCGCTGCAGCTGCATCAGAACTGACCTCTTGGCGTAAGCGATTGACACTTTTGCAACGATGCACCGTCACATACATGATATAGAAAACTAGCTCGAGACTTCGCTGTCGCTGTTTTACAATATCGTGGGTAGTTTGAGCTACGGCTTTGTACGACGTCAGTAGCAGTTCCAGGACCTCCAGCACCGATCGTAAAGGCACCAGATCAACGTGAGCACAGAGCCCCACCACAAACGTCAGGTGCCGAGCTGCACAATGAAGACTTTTCATGGCATTGATATGCACTAAAACCATTGAGATCACAGCTGCTGCAAGGTCCTTCACCAGCATGCACCCTGCGATCGTGAAAATTGCAACATGTTGTGATGCAACCCCATCTACAGCGCCAGCAGCCAGCCCCCTTTGAATGGCGTCAATAAGTACCTTCCTGAGCACAGCATCCGCTCGTCCACTTTTGCACAAGAAGTCTTGCATTCCAGCAAAGAACTTTTCCAAGAGCTGGTCGTCGAGGTGCAAGCCAAGCAATCTGTTCCCTGCATTTTCGATATTCGTGTACGCCAGTAGCTTATCACTCACAACTCTCAAGGCGTTCTCCATCACTGTAGTTACGGCTTGCTGCTTTTCCTTGTCTCCTCGATCCATTTCGTCGACAAGTCGCCACGCGCCTGCTACAAGCGCAAACTCGCAATGCACGCGACGTGCGCGTGTCTTGTCCACCTCCACCTGCCGTTCGAGCACCTGTACAAACTCGTTCGGAAATCGAATCGCCATCTGTGCAGCAAATGGCAGCAAAGTCGACCACACGGGAAAGCACGTCATGGCATGGAACCGCGGCTTGGGCTGCGACGGACGCCATGTACAGGCGTCCGGGGCTCGACCGAGTCTTTGAACGCACGGAAGTAGCAGCGCGTCCAGCAGCACATGCGTCACGAGCATTGACATGGACTCAAAATCCATCGCACACTCGCAGTCGGTTTGGCGCTGCTGGTCACGCTTCCCATCGAGTTTCGCCAGTCGCACGAGTTGCTGGCACAGCAGCGCCGAAATGCCGCTCTGTCGTGCACTGCGGCTGAGCCATTGAGCGTCCGGGTGATAGAATGCGCGTCGTAGGAGCGAGAACGGCCGACGGTCATCGACCGCATTGTTCATTGCATGGTTCGTCGCTTTCGAGCGTGGCGAGAGCGAGTCGACAAAGATGCAGAGCTCGGGGAGGAGCTGCTGGAGCTCCGAAAGGGAGAGCTGCAGTAGGTCTGCGGTCGAGATCTGCTGCGTGAGCACCCGACGCGCTGAGGTGCTCACGCAGTCGTTCAACTGCTGCAGCAACGCGAGAAGCGCGCGCCGAGGCCGCAGCTCACGCGACGGCTGCATGGTTGTCGGTACGATTAATTGCTTTTTATAAAACGCAATCGCAAATTAGGGCAGTCGTTTGGGGCGAAAACGGAGGAAGAAAAATGTCGGGTTTGCACGTTTTCTTTGCGTCTCGGTTGTGCAGACGCTCTTTCTTTCCACAATGATCGTGTAAATGTACCGTGATGATAGGAGCCTAGGTAAGCACAACTTCAAAGTCTGCTTTCCCAATAAGATATTCCGATGCGAGAGCACATTTCCTCCTGCACCGATCTGCACCGGTCAGCATTCTCGAGCTTTCAAGATTGATAGCTTGGGCTGGACAACAAACGAGCTGACTGACTCCAAAATGTGTGCCGGCTGTCGGAAGTAAAGCTGGAAGAGCGCCACATAGCGATGTTGCAACTTTTTGTGTTGTCTCTACCACACTGCTCAATACGCTTCAATCTATCAGCAGCACGAGATTGCCACATAGAGTATAGGCTACCCGCGTCTCCATTATTGTGACTGTAGCGGAGCTGCAAAGCTCCATAGATCCGAGGAAAACTTTACACTCAACGAGCAACTTAGTTCAAAGACCTCGACTCAGAGATTCAAGAAGCTCAAAGAGCTTACGGTCCCTATTCCATGGGACTAACGATTTAACAGAGTCAACGGTACTAGCTGCCAGAGAGTACTCGCCTTAGAAAGACTTTGACTCTCACTTAAGATCTGTGACAGTGTCACAAAGCGATCGAAAGCGGAGCTGAACTTTGTGTAAATCTTTGTATCTGAAAGAATGTACTAATCTAACTATACCTAATCCAGACATTAATTTCATACATTAGTGTCCAAACCAAGATCTTTCTATATGTTGTCTGACACGCGTCACCCCCTACAAATTGATAGTACATTCTTTTATTTCTAAAATAGGGCACCACCCCAGGGTAACCCCTAGTGTCTCTGACACAAGGTACTTCAAGTACCAACGACGTGTAACCCCGTTACATGACGAGTCTTCGACTCTTTCCTCTTACCTTAGTCTCGATGAAAAGGTGGACTATGGTAGCGATACCAGTGTCTATGGTAAAGAAGGGACATTATCCAACCCGTCAATGCTTGAGGCACGACCTCGTTCGGCACCAATTCGTTCGCTAAACGTGGTGATACCAACGCGCCCTTGGCGCAGCATCAAACACACGGATCGTTCGATGCCATCATCACCAACCCGCTCGACGAGCAACAACAGCTTATCATTCCGCAAGAGGAGATTGCTCTGCGTCGTTCGCAGGTCGACACAACGCTCAAAACCCACTGCGGCTGTGTGTTTACTTCACACGACGTGGAAGGAAGTCTCCTTCAAACGGCTGGCCGTACTTTGTCGGGGTAGACAATCGAAACATATGCTACTTCACTCGAGAACATTGCCTTTCGACAAAAACTGCATGCGAGGTATCTCGAACCTTATTTGACCACACAAAGTCAATACTAGGATCACCTTGAGAGACAAGCACTACAATGCACCGGTTCCACCGATTAGGGTGTACCCATTCTCCTTTTCGCACGCTAATCTCAGGAGGAAGCAGACAACACGTTTATTCGCTAGGTATATCGAACCAGACGCCTCAGTATCGGGGTAGCTATAAGAGAAATTGCCGATGTGGCAGACGTTCGTCTTAAACGAAATCTTCGGTATGACTGTGGCAAGCTTGAAGCCAGAGGCCAGTTACGAAATCACACTGGCTATGTTTCGGCTGTGCCGGAAACTGTGAGTTCCAGTCAAGTGGTGATCAACAACCCACCTGCTCACACCACTATTGGTGAGAATCGTTCTCGGTCTAAGGATGACCCTTGCCTCGATGTTAAAAACATCCAAGACGTATGAGCAATGCTTGCAAAGGATAAACTCATACTCCCAGGAGTTCTCCGACTCAGGGTATCCGCGCCACTTGATCAGATACTGGTATTAAACCTTACGACGACGTCGTTTCAGAAATTTCTCCACATAGAACTGATGGTTTCCTGGCTCATCGAGCAGCGTCGGTGGTGGTCGGTGCTCCGAGGAAGAAGGATTAAAAGCTGAGTCTCGAAGTAAGTTGTCTTCGCGAGACCTTGGGTAAGACCCAGAGTGCGCTCGAAGCGACGCAAGCTCGCATTCAGGCGTTAGAGTTGGGTATAACACAGATTGAGGCTCAGCTTGACATCCTGGCTCAAATTTAGCAGCCGATGGCAAGGCCAAATGTTGCGGCGCAAGCGCTTCATATGCACAAGGGACGGATCCCGGTACAGATTAAGTAAGCCAAAGCATAACACAGGGTGTGTGCGCAACTTGCGCGCAAGATTGAGCGTGTAAGCAAGACACTTCTTAGAAACGACCGTGTACGGCCCGATCAAGCATGGACGAAACTTTGTCTTGAAGACAGTAGACACTTCATTTGTAGGCAGGATTTTAGCATGAGTCATACTTGGTCTCCGATCTCGTAACTTTCAATACAACCTCTGCCTTAAACATCAGATTGTAGCTTCTGTTTAGCTTGGCTACCAGCCAGTACGTCACGCACATTTCGTGGGACATTCAATCGCGTTGCGAAAACTCGCTTACCTATTTTCGAACAGTAGCAGGGCTAATATCAGCAAGCCGATCGGCCGTCTCCCCCCGCCAATATCAGAATCACGTAGTGGTAGCGTTAACTGAACGCTAATGTATGTGAGGTCATGTAGAACGGAGTATAGCCAGTGGATGCATGCACGACGTTGTTCAACGCAAACTCAACGACAGGGAGCATGGAACTCCAACGCTTCGTCGTTTCAGCGCAAACATTGCGTATTTCACTGATAACGCAACTCACTCGCTCGGTTTGACCATTGTACTGCGGATGATCCGCTGTGTACATGTACAATCGTGTGTCCAAAACCTTGAAGACGGCATTCCATCATTTCCCAGTGAAGCAAGGGTCTAAATAAGAGATAATTGCCACAGGCAAACCGTGTTGATAAAAGGCCCGATCGATAGATATCGTCGCTTTGTATTCACTTACATGGATTCCGGCACCACCGATAAATGAGCCATATTGCTCAAACGGTCCACAAAGACCACAAAACCCCGTATTTCCATACGAATCTTTCGGTAAACCAAACACGAATCCACATTGATGGATTCCCAACACCCCGTGGGTACAAGAAAACTATAAAGAGTCTCAGCCGCGTGAGCTGAGGGTTTCTCCCGTTGACACGTTTCACACGTACGCACATAAGTGCTGACTGGTATGTAAAGTTTGGGCCACCAATAATATTGGCTAACTGATCCATAGGTCTTATGTCGAACGCGGTGACCGCTCAACGCAGTAGCGTTCGCCTCAAAGAGAATACGATATTTTAACTTCTCATCGTTTAAAACAACGATACGAGGAGGAACTTCAACATCCGTGCAGTAGAACAACATACCTTGATCGACGGAATACCAGTGTAGTCTTGCACGTAAGCGTGCTAAAAATTATATATCTGAGCTCGTAAACTCGTCGCTCCCAAGAGCGCGTAGCAGAGCTACATATTCTTCATCCTTGGAGTAAGCCGTGCGAATAAGATACGATATGAATGACGACAGAGTTGTTACGTGAGCGAGCTCATAGTCAGGCGTGCGCGATAATGCATCGGCAAAAAGGCCTTGCTACCCCCGCTTATACTTCACCTCAGAGTTGTATTCGCTAAAGAAATAAAGACAACGAGCTATTCTCTGGAAGAGACGAGGCAACCGGGTCGCAGTGCACAATGACGCATGATCGATATAGATCACAAACGTCTTAGAGCCAATCAAATTTACTCTGAATTTGACTAGAGCATACTTCATTGCAATTATCTCCTTTCCATAAACCGAATAGTTGTTTTCAGCAGCTTCTAGCTGTCGGGAATCAAATGCAAATGACGCATTCCCGTCCATCAACATCTGTTTGTAACAGAGCACTGCATATGGCAAATTCAGATGCGTCACAGACGACACTGGAAGGCCGACCAGGCAATGTCAAGATTGGTGCATGAAGGAGACTCTCCTTTACTGATTGAAAAGCATCATGCTAGTTGCTAGTCCTGCACCATTCCACATCCTTTAATATGTGATTAGATTACGGTTGAACCATATCTGCGTAATTCTCATCATACTTGTACAAGTATTAGGCGAGGACGAGCCACTTGTGCAAGTCCTTTTGGTTCTTCGGAGCCCGACAATCAAATATGACTTTGATTTTTAGCGGGATCCGCTCTAAGGCATCGGTTCCCCATGAAGCAATCTAAATTGAAATCTTTTCTGCACCAAAAATGCACTTAAATGCGTTTTTATACATCTTATCTGTTCACATGCACTCGATCACTGATCGTAAATGATCGATATGATGATACAAATCCGAACGACCGTTCAAGTCACGACTATGGGCAAAATTTCATCAAAGTACGTACGTGCATAGCCTCGATGAGGTCGGAAAAACTGCGTCACCAGAAGATTGAATGTACCCGGGACATTCGGTAACCATTGCAGCATTACAAGCCACTCCCAGAGTATACCGCTCGGAGTGCTAATCGCTGTCAGCAGGATATCGCTGGGTCACTTGAGCAGTTGGTAATATCCATCGACTAATTTGAGCGCACTGTACATCGTACATCCCACCAATTTGTTTTGAAGAACATTTTTTCTCGGAGTTGGTGTATGAGCCGTAATGATGGCCGCATTAAGCTAATTATAATCTAAACAATGCGCCACTTGTCATTGGACTTTCTGACACATATCGACGGTGCGTAAAGGGGAGACTAGCTCTTTCGTACCGTTCCTGCCGCGTGCTTTACACGAAAGAAGTCGTCAATGACGCCACACTGTTCCTTTGGTGAATACCACTGCCATGTTATGTAGCATTTTGTTCCAGGAAACAAGTCCATTTCATGACGTACAACTCTTTCGGAAGGTAAGCTAGAAGGTGAGTTGTGACACACCGCGTCCTGAAACTCCTTTACCAAAGGATAAAACGGATTCAGAGGATCATTTAGGATCCATGATC